AGAAGAAGTGTGGGTTTAATCAATACGTGGAGTGTTTACAAGGCTCATGTGTGTGTGTGTGTGTGAGTGGCCCACTTAGTGGCAAGGTTGTAATTAAATCCAACTCTTTAATTAGCTTATTTAATCTACTTTAATCATACCTAATCAATTTTCAGATAATTGTACAATAAAATCACGTAAATTACGAGGGTCACAGAACACTAATCGGTTTCAGATTCGGCCGCCGATAAGGCCTTCAATTAGCAGTTTAAACATACGAACATGAACAGATAATCATACAATCAAACAGATAGAATGAAATTAACTAACATATACTCAGTCAATTCAGTTCCAGTTTCAGTCAGTCAGTTCAGTACTTTTAATCAGTTCAATTATCGGTCAGTTATCAGTCATTATCAGTTCCGTTTAACAGTAACTGGTGATCAATCAGTCATTAATCAGTAATCAGTATGAGGGTTGTTACAGCAAGGCAGCCCAGACATGCATCATTCATCAGAAGCAAGGCAGTCCCTAGCTTGCACGCCAGTTTTACAGCTTTCTTAGTTAATTTGATTAATTAATTAGGAATCTGTATATATTTGGACTGTAAGATTTGGACTGTACTATTCTTTTATTCGGGACTGTATATTTATTCCGACCCTCTGCGCGAGGGCATAACTGTAATAAGTGTGCGTGTGTGTGTTGTATGTCTTCCAACCCCACGTCTTTCTCCCTTTTATTTATCCGCTTATGATGGTTAGATTAGGGCATATTTCAATTAGCATACAGTATGATAGCATGTTTGCATTCATTCATCTGTTTTGCATGCACCGGGCTCGGCGCATCATACTAACTGCATTTGTACTTCAATTTCAAAAGTTGAATACATGTTAGTTGTCGCATTTCATATGCCATGTTTAGAATAGCCGAGCCTGCTATAGTTCGCATTTTTACATGTGTTGCATTAGGCATTTCTGTATACTTAGGATCATGCATGATTTCTAATGAAGTCTCTGTTTTAGCTTGGAGTAATCGGTAAGTTTTATGCTTTAGCATCCTTGCATGTGTGTGAGTGCTGCCATGAATAGCATGCTTACCATGAAGCTATTTGCTTATGTGATATAACTGCCTGAATGCCTGTGGGTGAAGGTTGGGTTAGTTGGATTGGGACAATTCATCAAATGTTTGTTTTAAGCCCACTAGATAGTGGCAAAACCATCTTTTCTAAGCCCACCCGAGGGTGGCAAAATCTGCATTTTAAGCCTACTTGCGAGTAGCAAACCACCTTTCAAAAAGAAACATGAAATGTTTTGTTCCAATTCAGGCGATCCAGTCTATACTTGTATGCTGTGCGCATCACATAGTAATCTAGGCTAATAACCGGAATTTGTTCCAATTCAGGCGATCCAGTCTATACTTGTATGTTGTGCGCATCACATAGTAACCTAGGCTAATAACCGAAATAAGAACGCATAAAGTTTTCAAAAATAAATATCATGGTTAGTAGAGGCCGATCTTTGATCGGGCGAGCGGGGGTGCTCACGAAGTGACCTCCCCAATCGTACCCAAGTTCCAGAGCCGAGGCAACTTTGGTGACGACGGACACGTGGCCTTTGGCACCGAGTCAGGGTTTCCTAAATTTCCCCAAAATAAAATATTTAGGTGGCGACTCTGTATCTGGCAAAGCAGTCCATGTTTGGCACTTCTTTCAAAAAATCAGTTTTCTCAAAACGATTTGCCGGATTTGGACTCTTTGGTTCAGATTTAGAACCGTGACAAATTTGGAGAGTCCTGAGCTGTAGTGACCCCAAATGAACAAAACGGGAGCTCACCCTCCCGGGAGCGTTCGGGGACGTCTACACATATGGCGCTGACGTGTCAATGACGTGGTGCCACGCGTCTCGTCTTCTTCCTCTGCCATGCGTGTGGCGCGTGGACGCGACTTGAATGACGCGCCGGTACATCAAACGACGCGTGGGGGCGTGTGCTGAGACTGGGCCTCACGCGCCATATTCAGGAGGCACGTGAGGGTGCGTCCAGCCTCCTCTAGGGCTCTTCTTTGCATTTCTGGGCTCCTCTCGTCGAGACCTTACTCTTGGTATGCTCAAAACCTGATTTCGAGCAGTTTGATTTCTGGACAGTTTTGAAAATCATACTGTTTTTGTTCCGAAAATGACTGACGAGGCTCTGATATCACTTGTAGGGGATCGGGGATCCCGCCCAAGACTTTATAGAAATCATACCAAGCAGAAACACACACACCCACACCAAAGGAGACACCATATTTAACATGGTTCGGCAATAATGCCTATATCCACGGGAGAGTAACCGTTTATCACTATAATAATGGAAAGATTATAAAAAGATTACAATAAAGGAGGAGCTCACACTATCCTCATTCACTCATTCACCCGTCTCCCTCGCTCACACCGAGAGAGACGATTTCTCTACCTCACATCTCTCACTCTCTTGGTTGGTTTACACTCTCTTGGTTCTCTCTCCTCCTGGTATGCTCAAAACCTGATTTTGAGCAACTTGATTTTTGATAGTTTCAAAAAAATGCACTCTGTTTTTTCGAAATGCAACCGATTTAGCTCTAATAGGAAAGCTGTAAGCCCGTAGGGCATTTTGCTTTTGTTGTTAACATGTAATATTTTTGTAATCAAACTCTGATGAATAGAAGAATGTGGTTATTTCATATGTTAATGAATGTCTTATTTGATGGGTTTAATGTTATTATTTTGAGGGTGTTACAGTTTACACACTTACACCTCACTTACACACTATATCACTCTCACTTCTCACAATCTCTTAGATTACACACACTGTAATCACTTGTCTTCTTTTCTTGTCTATCTCCAACCCCTCCTCCTCACCTCAATCTATACACAATTGAGGGAGGAGGTCATTGGTTGCCACTAACCCCTTCCATTAGCTAATGGGGTGGGTGAAGTGGAAGAGTGGGAGAGCCACTATCCATAGTGGTTGCTCCATTTGAATGGGCAGTGGAACACTAACACCTTGTTCTGCCACGATCTCCTGTGCATCTTCAATTGCAACACAGCCACCAAACACAAGATTTGAGCACAAGAAGATGAATGTAACTATAAACACATATTTGGTGACTCAGATATAAATCCGATAAAACAAAAAAATCATTTACCTTTCTTAGATTTTGTGGGTTTGAAGAATGTTTTAAACAAGTTGCTTGATTTAGGCATTGTTTAAGAGATGAATGAATATAGGTTTAATGGCAAAGTTCAGATGGAAAGAGAGAGAGAGAGAGAGAGAGAGAGAGAGAGAGAGAACAAGATTTAGATAAAGCAGAAGAAAAATAGAGGGAGTGTGTCTGCTTTTTTAACTTTATATAGTCTTGATAATTAGACACAGTCTTGTAAGAATCGTACTATACGAAATGGATACCGTAGTTAAGTAGCACCATTTTATATTATATGATGTGAGATTATCGGTTCAAAGCTTAACGCGCTTTGCTTTGTGTGGTTCCCTTCATGGTTTTAAAAATCGGACCGGACCGGTCGGTTCAACTAGTTGAACCGCCCATCGGTCGAGGTTCCGGTCCGGATACACCCACTGAACTGGTCATAGTGAAAAACCGGTCTATTTTGAGAGAATCGGAAAAATCGGCGGTCGGACCGCCAAACCGGTTCCGGTTCACCGGGTTGATAAAACATTTTTAATATTTTTTTTCTTTTTTTATTCTTTCTTTCTTTTCTTTCTGTATATGTATATATATATATAATAAAAATTTAATTGGAAACTCTCTTTTAAGGGTCTGCACTTGTGAGGAATCCCATTGAGAGCTTGAAATTATTGTGAAAGCCTCTATCTATTTATAAGGAAAAAAATTCGTCCAAAAAAACTCAAGAAATCTATGTGGGATTCAATTCAATTTATTGGAGGGAAACTTAAAATTTTGACATCCCTCTAAAATTTTTGCCCTTCTTTCAATCAAATTATTTGAATTAAAATCATATGGAGGGAATATTGAATATTGAATATTTGATTTCTTCTTCCAAAATTAAAATTAATAATATTTTTAAATATATTTTTATATTTTTTAATAAAAAAAGTATTAAGAGAAATATTTAAGATTATTAAAATTTTTAATTTTTAATTTTATTTCTTATATTTTTATTTAAATATAATTTTAATATATTTATGACGTCACGGTTCGATTCCGGTTCAACCCGACGGTTGAACCGGTGACCCGTTCACCCGATTATTTTTTCGGTTCACTCACCGATCCGATTTTTAAAACATTGGTTCCCTTTCATTTTTATTTCATACAATTTCATATAATATATATTATACAATTAATTAATCTGGATCTTATCCTTATAATATATTTATATTTTATATAAAAAGATATCATGTTAGCTATATACCCTTAAAAGGTGTACATATACAAATCATGCCCACTTGGCCATCTCTCCTACATATTTTTTCATGATTATGACCCCCAAAATCGAGTGAATAGCAAGCTATTCATATTCGATTATTGAATAGATAGGACCAATTAATTTAAATTATAAAGAAAATTTTCATCAAAGAAATATATTTTCTTTAGGGATAAAAAAATAATTTTTCTTGTGAAAATCGAACTACTAAAAAAGTCTATTCATATTTACAAAGACGATGTTTGTCTTAATTATATTTTAAAATTATAACTAAAAAACAAATAAATAAATTATAACCAAACACTACTTTTTGCACCGTAAAATATTTGTAAATTATAACTAAAAAACAAATAAATAAATTATAACCAAACACTACTTTTTGCACCGTAAAATATTTGTCTAACACCATATTTTTACTAACAATTACATAAAGTATAATAAAAAACATTTGAATTATAACAAAAATAATATTATAATTAATATCATTATAAATTATAACTAAGACATTATAATAACTCATAATGAAAGATCACAAGTCATAAAAACAAAAGAAGAACATGTATAATATATGAAAAACATCATAGAATGCAACACATGATATATTCTCAGGATGAAGAACTGAGAATGCTGACAAGGCAAGAAATAAGTTCTTCAAGCAGATCAATGTTACCAGGAGAGGTTGGATATAGCACAGGGGAAGGTATTTTCATTGTCTGGGTTCAGTGCTATCTATATTCTTTGCTTTGGTTATTGTATACCTTATTTTTTTCCTTCTAATATTTTATGTTGTGCATTATTTTTATTTTTCCTGCAGTGGACGAGGAAATTGTTTCTTCTCAAATACCACTAAGACAATCTCTACGGCCTAGGCAGAACAGGTATTTATATATTTAATGTAGTTTTTTTTTATTGTTCCTTCTGTCTCCCCCCTCAAATTATATATCTGATGCTGCTCAAGATGTCTGAATTGTGCTTCTTCTATTTCACTTTTTATATGGCATGAAATTTCTTTTTGTGATTGTTATTTCACATTTAAGTTTCTACTGAACATCCTTTATGTCTTTATGATGTCATTTTTTAATTCACATAATGACATTGTCTTATTTGTGGTTAGCCAAAATATATTTTAGTTAACATTGGTGTTTTTGGACGTCACTGTACATATGACACATTTTACTCAGAATATATGAATGGAATGATATTGATCATTTGTAGAGGATCAAAATTACGAATTTTATTCTCATTAGCCTCATTTCAAAAGCAGTAGTCAATGTGTCTTGGAAAGCTAATCTTTATTCTCAAAATTTAATGAATAAGTAAATTTCGGGTTACAAAATTCTTGATGGTTTACATTTTTCAATTATAAAATCCAAGTAACATCTAACATACTCTCAAAATTGTTGATTAATTGAGAAGAAAATTTTATAGTACATCATATGCCAAATTATGATTTTGTGGTCTTTTGGTTACTTCCTATGTTATGACTTGGTCATGGCTGGTGTTTATGACCTATTGTGATTAGAAAAATGATATAGAAGCTTATTTTTTAGACTTACTTTTTAGATGCAATTTTTTTTTTTGGCACCTTTTTAAGGGAGTATAGTATTCTATGTTATATTTCAAAAAATTCTACACAATGTATATATGTGTGTATTACTTTAGTTGTCTTCATGAAAAAAAAATAAAAAATTGTATTAAACTTACAAGTATTTAACTTAACCCAAGTATTTAACATAATTAAATGAAAATTTTGAAAGACTTGGCATTTTAACATTTATGTGTAATATGGCAAGAGTTTTTTTTTTTGGCACCTTTTTAAGGGAGTATAGTATTCTATGTTATATTTCAAAAAATTCTACACAATGTATATATGTGTGTATTACTTTAGTTGTCTTCATGAAAAAAAAATAAAAAATTGTATTAAACTTACAAGTATTTAACTTAACCCAAGTATTTAACATAATCCGTTTTGCTTTGAATCAACTTTACAAAGTATTTAAATTAACCCAAAAAAATGTATTTAACATTTTGTAATAAAAAAAAATTAAAAAAAAATTGTACCATTCAAATATAGTATATTTGTTGTGTGATTCTAAAAAGAAATGGACTGTTTTTTTCATTTTTTGATGCTAATAACATCCACATAATACCAAAGGATGACATTCCGGACAAAACAAAGAAATAATCATCTCGGAACCCAAGCACACCCGTTCACGACCGTCGGTGGCCGTCTCGAGATCTATTAGACAAACCCACCCATACAAAACCGTCGGTGGCAAAAGAGATATTTCAACAAAGGTGCCACATAGGCTTAACGTCCCCTAGCACGAAAGGACGTCTCAAGAATGTCATCGAAACAAACACAATACCACTCACCATAACCTGATTTCCCAAAATCCGATAACACTGAAGCAGACATATGAGACATATTCTGATTAGTCGAGGATAATATTTCGTACTATTTACAATCAAATCAATCTGTTATCATCAGCTTTCTTAGCGTCAAATACGCAAGAATACGACACTACACAAGTATTGTTCCTTAAGACACCCAATCGCTGGATTTGCACAATTCGGTTCATTTTTAACACATGTGTCCTCGACAGTTGGAGGTTGGTTCTCAACGGTGTTCATGGTTAGATCACTCTGTTGATAGCCCACAAAAGGTCTTCCAAATAAGTCAAGTACTCCAAACGGGTTCAAGTTTTGGGTCTATCAGTTTTTCTGCCGAGAATAATTTGGCTATTTATTTACAAACAATTCTTAATCCCCTTTAACAAAATCAAATTAGGTAGAGGATCTTATCAATCAATCCAAGCAAAGGTCTTGCCAGATTAAATCAAACAAAGGTCCCATCGAATTATATCCAATTAGGGTTCTATCAGGCCAAATCAAACAAAAGTTCTATCAGATCGAATCAGATGAAACGTTTCTCAAATAGAGTACATTTGGTTCTATAAGGCATACTTCGTTTGCTTAGGCACATGGTTGATAGTTTCGCAACTGTCCTAAGTTCATCAGCTCTCAAAGTCAAATCAGAGTCATTCATCACAACCGTTCATATCAAAGTATTTCAAATCATATCCCATATAGCATTGTCCACATAAGTTCAAGTGTAGTTGCATAAGCATGCAAGTGTTCATATCAGGTGGTATGGATCATAATCAATATAGCAGTTCCCAAATAGGCCTTATATGCAAGCACATGGTACACAACGACACATTGAACAAAGTTAGTTGCACATAAGATAGGGTCTGTTACGCAAAAGTTCCAAATTGGTGTCAAATCATAGGTTTACGAGTTAAGCCCAATATAGTCATATAGCCCAGTCAATTTTCTACCAATCAAAATACATGGTCTCCCAATTATAAAGTTCATCATTTGAGGTGCTCAACTCAGTCATAATTCCAGTGGTTCAGTCATTGAAGATAGTGATATATCAAATCGCCCTAAGCCTAGGCTTAGATGTATATGTGCATGTACAAAGTCAATCAATATCCCAATACGCATTTCACAAATTTCCCAAATGGAGCATATACTTTCAACGAATACAGTCTCGATCTTGCGAGTCTAACCAATCTAAATACACACGCAGCAGATATGAAAGAATATGCCGATCCGAATCAAACGATATCCCAAGCAAAATGTACACATGCACTAATTCAAAATCGATCAATACATAAGCATTTGTTCATAAACAGTATAGATGCCTGGGATAACGGTCGCAGTATTTTGAGCGCTTTCTGGGATGAGTGCAATTACCCCATCTTGATTAGCAGTTCCTACCATTGGTACGAATCCAACTGAGACAACGGGTCTACTCACGTTTTGCTGAGTCCGGGGACAGTTCCTTACCATATGGTCCGTCTTACCACACCTATAAAAGTCCCAAAAATCCGATAACAAACTCCTCGGTGTTTCTTACACTAGTGGTGGCAAAGGTTCTTGCCGTAGTAGCAACTGACATTATTGGCTTAAGATCTCTACCATCTCTTGTACTATTCCTTCCAGGCTATCAAGTCGGGCTGTGAAAGGGTCTGCCCGTATGCCCTTAATTTACCCACTCTCTACACAAACTCTTATTAAACCTTGCCGATTACCGGGATGCCCAATACAAAGATAAACACAGATACACATGCGTACACTCACACATTGTAATTTTCTCATTTTATGTATCGACAAGACACAATTAATCACGTACGTAATAGATGATTGTATACTTAACAGATATCGCATGCTGAACATTTACTAAGTAATTATATACTCAAATCATGTTCATATTTCACATAGGCACCCATTGACAGAATTGAATGCACATAAGCAACTTTACATGTTCATGTATGTGCATTATAGCAAAACAAACTCGATATACACGTTAGTGCAACAATTCATATCTCATATAATCACATGTTCTCAATTTTGATTAAACTTGCATTATACTTTGTACAAAAGATTCACAGGTATGCATATACTAAAAAGCATATGTATTCAAACAATTTGCAATGCAAGCAAATCACAAACTTATAATATATAATCGTTCACATTAACATTTAAGCATATTCTCAATGCTTTCAGATTCATACTTATCACATGAATGCATCCTAGATCTTCTCTAGACGCTTATTGCTCTTTTGGACAAGTGTGTGAGCTATTAACTCGTGCTCTGATACCACTCTGTCATGACCCAAACCCACCCCTATGGGTTAAGGCCATAACCGACCAGTAATCACGAGATTACCTATGACCTCAAACCAAATATGACAAAACTCATTAGAGTAAAGGGGCCAAACGGAAGCAAATTTAAAACTTTATCCATAGAGTCGTGCTTATATGCACTTCATAACATTCCACATTTACATATGTTAATAACTCACAACAGAAAGTGTAGTAGCATAAGGTTCTGTATAGACAGGATCACTCAACTCTAAGTCAGCCAAACAAAACTATACACAGACGTATACTGAAGTCCTCACCAACATGAAAAAATACACAGAAAGGCAAAAGGGCGAAGACGTGTCTCGTGCATGAGACGTAAGGGCTGACTCTTCAAACTTTGGTTGTTCCATACAGACTTCACTGAGGCTGGGTCTGGACCTCTCTTGGCTCACCTACAAACACATAAATGAGCGTGAGCGAAAGCCCAGTGAATAATATCAGATAAATAATATACATTGGAACAGTATACATCAAACGGCCTTGGGCCCAATTTATATTTCTAACTAGTACATACGTACATAGACATATGTAAGTTAAGTAACTACGGTTCCAAACACATCATACGGCCTCGGGCCCAATTCATTAGTATCATTCAAGTCAAACTGTTATTCGTGTCAAACTGGCCTTTGGCCCATTCAATCTTTCATGTCAAGCTGGCCTCTGGCCCATTCATTCATGTCAGTCGGCCTTCGGCCCAATCATCTATGTCAATCGACCTTCGGCCCAATCATTTATGTCAATCGGCCTTCGGCCCAATCATTCATGTCAATCGACCTTCGGCCCATACATTTATGTCAATCAGCCTTCGGCCCAATCATTTATATCAATCGACCTTCGGCCCAAACATTTATGTCAGTTGGCCTTCGGCCCAATCATTTATATCAATCGGCCTTCGGCCCAATCATTTATGTCAATCAGCCTTCGGCCCAATCATTCATGTCAATCGGCCTTCGGCCCATACATTTATGTCAATCAGCCTTCGGCCCAATCATTTATATCAATCGGCCTTCGGCCCAAACATTTATGTCAATCAGCCTTCGGCCCAATCATTCATGTCAATCGGCCTTCGGCCCATACATTTATGTCAATCGTTGTCCACCATTCAAATTAATGAACTTACAAAACTTACATAGAAGTAAACAACTGGACAATAACATATCTC